ATTCTAGGGCTTAAATTCGTTCCCATTTGAGTAAATATCAAGAAGGTTGTACTATTCAATAATTTTCCAAATTTTATATTAAAATTTTTAGTCATTTTAACACTTATTTAACATAATTGCAGTACAGTACAGGAAACTAGTTTTTGGTGCGCCAATCAGCCACTTGACTCACCCAGCAAGGCGTCAGTTTGTACCTCTGGTCAGTGGAGGTAACATCTTGCTTGTGGCTCTCTTGAACATAAACTATTTTTTACGTTTCTACAGTACAATTATTGGTCAGTCTGAAATTTATTTTACATATTGACAATATATAGTGCAGTGCAGTGCAGTGTTGATTTAAAGAAAATAATCTTGAATTACACCTAGTGAACTTAACATTTTATGGGTGAAATGACTTCTAATCCCCATCATCATCATCAACCAGGAGACTTCTACATACACACCTCAAAGTAAGTGTACTTTACTGCATTTATTTTTACTTTGTATGTAATTTTCGGTGAGCTGGAACCAATTACCCAAAATCCCATTGAAACAACGGTTTCGGTTAACAAAATTTTCGGTTAACGAACGACCTTCTGGAACGAATTGTGTTCATTAACCGAGGGACCACTGTACAGTATAACATTTTACACATCCATAAGTACTCGAGCACACCCCAATACCCGTCAGTGTACCCTGATAACCGATGCATATAGGTACCAGGAAAAGTCATTGGTTAGTGAATCATCGGTTATCAAAGCAATTAATAATGGTTGCCCCTCGAAATCGAGGATGGCCAGCCCTAAGGCCACCTAGGCATGAATTTGTTTAAGGTGTTGAAGCTGTCGCCAACACAACAACCACACCCTGAGTTAACGAGCTGCATGACCCAGTGTCGAATAGTCCGAGAAGACCGGACAACTCGCCAACTGCACTGGCTAACCATTACCCCGGAATACGATACGCAAATCGATTAATAGCCAGGTTCCCAATTACTACTGGGTAGACAGAGACAAATGGCATAAAGAAACTTGCCCATAGTTTCACCCTGTCTGGGAATCAAACCCGGGTCCACTAGCTTGTGAGGCAAGCATGCTGACCATTACACCACAGGTCACCAAATTGAAGCAATTAATCCCATAAGAACATAACAAATTCAGGGGGTTAGGGACCTGCCACCCCCCAAAAACTCCAATCTACCCTTGATATATCTTTGTTGTATACAGTCTCCTCCATTTAAGACGGGGGTTCCGTTCCGATGACCATGTCGTAATAATAATAATAATAAAGAACCATATATAAATACAAAAATTAAAGAAAAGATCAAAAGCGAGAAACAATATATGTATGTTGTGTTGTCAATAGTAAGAGAAACAATTGAGACCCTGCAATTGTGTGTAAATGAGGCAGAAAGTCAGATCAGCAACCTGGGACTTGGTCACAATTTTCGCAATGCCATATAGCAGCAGGGTCTACCATTAGACAATACATTATTCCAGTATTACAGTACTGTAATACCTACGTTAGCCAGAACCCCTCTTAAGGGGAGCGTCCAGCTTAGATCGGTGAAAAATGAAGAAAAAATCATAAAATATGAAAAAATTCCCGAGCAAAGGTGTTGCCTATGGCTGTATGTGGACAGAGTTTTATGGCATTATTGGGTACAGTTATGTATGGTTTTCCTCACCCCTCTGCCCCCAACCTTCCCACATCCCCTTAGGTATACATATGAATGATCGTGGTAAAACATTTGTCCCCAAAAATAGGGAATTGATAGCACAAAAAAAGACTTTAGAAATTGATTTCAGGCAACCCTCTTCCTCTCTGACAAGTATCGATGTGCAAACACACCCTGTGACAATCAGTGAGACTTGTGTCAACACTCAGATTCACAGTTCTCTGCCAGTTTTTTACCTAATTCAATGAAACAAACATTCAGCAGAGGAAGAACCTTTCTCCAATATAACTACAGACTCCAATTTTTTCTATCTCGTAAGATTTATTTTTGGTTGAATATTTAATCTCGATGTTTTGAAAAAAAATTCGACCAAACTTGAAATTTTTTTATCCTTAAAACCAAAGACAAAAACAAACACATCGCTGTGTAATATTCAATGACAATAGTACTAGATCTCTTAGCACTATCAATTTCAAGGCAAAATAGAAAGAAGCAATGGAGGGGTATTATACAATACAGTGCCTTGAAAATTTAGAAAAATATGAGAAAAGGTGTAAAGGGTAGAAAAACTTGAAAGGGTAGAAGGGGGTTATGGGGATAGAATTGATGTACAGTATATATGATCCTTGATTGATGACAAGAATATCATAACAATCGACCAAAATTAAAAGCACCTCCACCAAACACCAGATTCTCCCCTTAACTGGAACTCTCCGATAGCCTGAAGTGAAAATTGCTCGGAATTTTTCGGAAAATTCTGGGGTTGGGAACAATTTTCCTAGTATTGTACCAGGAAAATTCCAGGGATGGGGGATGTTTTTCAGGGCTTGAGAGTTGAAGTTATGCGCAATTTCCCAAATTCCCGAGAAAATTTTCCGGGTATCCGGAAAATTATAGGGATGGGGGACTTTCGTCCGGGTTTGAGAGAGTTGTCTCGTTACCCGGAAATCTCTCATTCCCGAAGTGCTCAGCACTAATCGTTCTAGCTAACTGAGATATCACTACAAGGTATCTATTTTATTCATCATTCGTTACTACTTTTCTGCTCTTTCAAGTAAAACTTTTTACAGTACTCAAAGTGCAGTTATGTTCCCCCATTAATTCCACAAAAAAGAGGGTCCAGGTCACTCAAATTACCGAAAAATCCAAATTAACCGAGTTCAGAATAGAGTATTTTGACATTATTCAACAATTTCTTAATTTTTTATTATTCGTTCGTTTTCTGTTCAGTTCTTGCACCTTGCCTTGGCTGCCACATAAAATAATCTTTTTATAATTATTGTGCAGGCAAATACTTTTTAAAATGTATGTACGGTACATTACAGTAATAAATAAATGTAATACTGCGAGGCGAGCTTTTGTGATGTATGCAACTCGCCCTTAGACTTGAGTTACTTGACTTACTGCATCATGTGTTTTTAACCCCCCAAGCACAAGTCTTGTAGTGTGATCAATTACTGGAGAAGTAATACAGTAGAAGTCCAAAATCCGGACTGCTTGGGGATTGGATCAGTCCGGATTTTCAGATTTTCCGGATTCTCAGGCAGTACTTTTAAAATTCAAATTTAAGGAGGAATAAAGAAGAGATGAACAGGTACATTTTGATAGTTTATTCATTAGCAAATATAGCATGCTTCATTTATCAAAACGAGCAGTTTTAATGAAAAAGCTGTGAATTCTAGAATTTTATTCTTTGCCTTTTTTATATCATAAATTGTAGACTTTCCAATGTCATATGTTTCCATTAGAACAGTATTGCTCACACCACGTTCTAATTTCTTAATTATTTCAAGTTTGTCACTCAATTTCAACATGTTCTTCTTTCTCTTCACACAACGAAGTTTATCTACTTTAGGAGCCATTATTATGGGCTTGTACAGTACTTTGTAAATGGAAAGAGTAGGACTCAAAATTACATATGTTGTCACAGTTTGATTGCTCGTTTTAAAGTGGTGACCACGTGGTCGCTTGTTGTCGCTGTGCAGCTGTGGCGCTCACGTATGCGCATATACACACAAAAGCCCGCTAAAAAAAAAAAAAAAAAGTTTGAATTTTCGAAAAGTCTGGATTCTCAGGTGGTCCGGATTTCTGGCATCCGGATTTTTGGACTTTTACTGATATGATTGTTAATAGTGTAAATAGTAATAACATAGTAAAATAAATGTCCTGTAACTCATACTGCCTACAAGTTAGTGTTGTTTACGTCACTACTACCGCATCACACACACACACCACTTCACGAACATTCTCGGCTCTTCCTTTTAGTTTCGGTCATCCCTATGTTTTTTCAACGGTTTTTGACATGTTTTGAATGATTTTGATCTTACCTAACCTATCCTAGCGAACCTAACCTAGCCACAAAACTCAGAAATTACATCTAACCTAACCAAAATTCTTAAGATTCCCCAGATGACCAAAACTAAAATACCAGATTTTTTTTTTCCCACGCCCTTAACTCATGAGACATAAAGGCAAGCATGAACTTAGCATGCTTCCCTGTTGGGCGCTGTAAACGCTTCTGCGCTTCACCTTACACAAGGATGTAGGTGAGTGCCCAATAAATTAAAAATAAATAAAAAATTCTGAGTACTATTTGCACTGCCTGCTAGATGACATATCCACTATGTTCCATCCAAGATGCTCCAAATACTTACGAGCTACTGCTACATTTTAGGATTTATTGGCGATACTTAATACCAATCTAACCTAAGTTAAATAGATTTGATTATTCTATGTCCAATAAATCATATACTCTAGCAGTAGCTGATAAATCGTAGCGTGCAGCCGTGCATATGTTCGGGACAGAAAAAGTTGTCGAAATACAGCATGTATGCGAAAAACTTATGCCATTCCAATTTTTTTTCGAGGTAAGAATGCATTTACCTTCAATAGAATAATTTTTTCAAGCTGCTGGTTAAGGTGCAGCAAAGTATAACCAACAATTACCCTTTCGTTAAGACTTGGTGATTTGTTTATTCTCCAGTGTGGATCCGCTCCATACAGTATACAAAACAGACATTCTTATGACAATCTCATTGAGCAAAAATTACAACTAAACAGATTATGGTATTAAGTATCCATATGAGCCTCATCATCTTGTAAACAAATAATCCTTCCGGGAGTGCTGAACTAACCACACGAAGCCTACCCCACCTAACTCAACACTATGTTTAGATCATTTCCAGAAATGATTAGGCATTTGGTTAGGGCAGCTCTTCATCTACTCTACATCCAGAATTTCATGGGTCTTAATAGTCAACTAGATTCACTGCCCTTACCAACAGCCAAAAATTACATCTAATAAAAATTTAATTCAAAATCTTCATATCGTGTTTATACTCACTGGCAACTACGTCTTCATCTTTGTTCATATCTGGTTCAGCTGCTTCATGAGTTAGACACTTGTTACACGCTGAGTGGAGGCACGGCAACAGTTTTGGCTCCTGGTCCATTGCACTTGAGTCACAAAACACACAATGCACATTATCCCAACTAAACTGGTCTTCTGCCTCAGGTGCCCCTGTACCTGACACACTGCCCTCACCTCCCCCACTACTGGCACTCGAGTCCCCCCCTCCCTCCATAGCTTCCTCAGTTTCTGGTTCTTGTGTCGCCGTTTCATCATTCATATCATTCGGCGTTGGGTCCTTTTCTGACACAGACCAGGTTCTAGTCGTTTCAATTTGTTCACTTTCTGAAACTTGTTCTGTATCATTTTGTACACTTAAATGTTCTAGATCGGAGGCAATAGGCGTCTCGCCCACTAAATGGGAGTTTGGAGGCTCTGTACAGGAGGTAAAGTCAGTTCTGTCCTGGTGAGGGACGGTCCCCTCTCCCCCAGCCTGATTGTCCAGTTGGGGCAGGTCCCCGTCCCCCTCCACCGTGTCACCATCGGGCACAGAGCTCCCCGACGCCTCCGGAGGTTCCTCCGTGACAGAAGGTGGCGTAGCAGGAGTGACCCTCTCGTCGTCGACCAGTTTCAGGGGCTGGTCGTCGTCCGCGTCCATTCCCCTGTCCCTCTCTGTGGCTGCCGACTCCTCGTCCACAGCCTCGCCACCAACCATTTGTAAAGTTTCTATCTGCACTCCCACTAGATTTTCCAGGGCCGTTAAAGGCCGTAAATCTAGGCTGGACTCTGCCATAGTTTTGAGCTGGCATCAGGCTTCAACCTCACTTAAATCGGGTATATTCATGACCAAAAAAATAGCACTTCCTATACGAGTACCGCCGACATGTTTGTTGTGTACGACTGCACCGAGGTATTGTGGGTACCAGGCCTGCCATCTCTCCATTATATTTACACACTATATCTTAAATTTTCCCTCTGGCAAAGTGACTAAATTAATTCTAATAGCAATTTAGTTATTAAAATTTACGTAACTTTTTATTTCTAAAAGAAACATAGATTAAACACGGGTAAAGGTTATTTACGGTTGGTAAAGTGTAAGCGGGATTTTTAACTGCCATACCAAAGGCTTCCCTGCTGTGAGCACATCCTCGGTCTCTCTGATATAATGAAAACTATTAATTAAATACAATACATAATGGTTGGTACTATAATAATATGGTTGTTTTTATAGCAATAGCTATTCTGTATTACCAGGAAACCTTAAAGGAAGCCGTGTTGATAGAACATGCATACATTTCCTATTAATATAATGGTAAATACAGTATACTCATACTTTATCCTTTCGTCATTGATCGGCTCGATAGTCACTTGGGCGTTCGGTCACGTCTCTCTTACACACTGTTGGCAATTACTGTGCATGTACAGAATGTATCTGTACCTGCGCCAGTGTTGGTCAAGGCTAGTCTTGAATGGGCTCACACTCGGTGCCATTCAAAGCCCTCTGGCAGTCCTGTAACCTTAAATGCTTTCGGTTCTGAATTTTATGAGTGACCGTGTATTGTGTGTGTCTGAAGAAGACTGAGGTCTGGATAGGCATGCCAGATTTCTCCGTCCCATTGTTGGGCAAGTCTTGTCTTGAAAGAGCTCGCACTCGGTAGATTGTTCCAAGAGTTCACAACCCTCACTCCGAAAAAGTTTGCCCTCCCAGTTTTCTGGACTTGCGGCTTCTTCAATCTTGACCTGTGACCCCTTGTGGGGCGAGCGTCCGCCAGCTCCAAGTACGAACACTCGACTGAGTAGTGCCCCTTGAGATGCTTATACACCTCAGTTAGGTCGCCCCTTGCCCGTTTGTAGTATAAGCCAGGCAAGATCAGGCGCACCAATCTCTCAGGGTAGCTGAGGTGCCGAAGTGCAGGCACCAGTCTGGTGGCCCTCCTTTGAACATTTTCAACCAACTGACAGTCCCTAGCATATCTCGGGGACCAGATGGGGTGACAGTACTCCAGATGGGGAAGCACTTCACTCTTGAAGATCGTTACGAGGGACGGACCGTCTAGATATCTGAACGACCTTCTTATAAGACCCAATAATTTATTTGCCTGGTTTACCTTCTTCTCGCAATGGCCCAAGAACTTCAGCTCATTGTCAACATACACACCTAAGTCCTTCTCACATTCAGTCTCAACTAGTGCTATTTCTTCATCCCGTTGGGACATATGGTACGCCTCCTTACCGTTGGTACGCCCCAGGTGCACCCTCTTACACTTCGTGACATTGAATCTCAGCAGCCATTTATTCGACCATTCCTGGAGCCCACACAGGTCCTTCTGCAGCTCTTCACAGTCAGCTTGGTTCTTAATTTCCCGAAATAACTTGGCGTCATCGGCAAACATTTGCATGGAGGAGTGTACAACGTCAGGCATGTCATTTATGAAACAAACAAACAACAGCGGGCCCAATACACTGCCCTGTGGTACCCCACTTGTGATAGGTACAGATGACGATTTCGTGCCATTATTCTCCGCACACTGCTTGCGGTCATGTAGAAAGTTTTCTATCCATGTTAGGACATTTCCCCGAATTCCGTACCCTTCCAGTTTGATTTTCAGCCTTTCGTGGGGTACACTGATAATACTCAAAAGTACTTTACATATTATGCTGGTCAGGCTCACCGGTCTATAGTTCGTGGAGTGCCGATCGCCCCCACTGGGGACCTTTTGTTCATCTAGGCATTTACAAAACAGGATCTTCAGGGGCTCTGTAAGTTCGTTGCACAACTCTCTTAGCACTCTAGGATGCACCATGTCAGGGCCGGGACTCTTATGGACCCTTAGCCTGGACAGTCTATTTCTAATACCCTCTTCTGTGAACACATGTGGGTCAGTGCTGTGTCGAACCATCTGTCCTCAAACGCAGGAAGGTTAGTTGCATCCTCTCTTGTTAACACTGAGGAAAAGAAGCTGTTCAATGCCTCAGCTTTATCCTGGTCAGAATCTGCGTAACTACCATCCACAAGCCTCAGGTCTGATACTCCTACTCGCGTTTTCAATTTCGACTTTGCATAGCGGTAAAACGCCTCCTCACATCCTGTGGGGTTGATGGCATCTTCAGAACCTCCGTACAAATATTCTTTAACTGCATCCTTTCGTGTGTTACCTTACTCTCAGTTCCTTCCGCCCGGCTCTCAGGGACTCCAAAAACTATTACATTGTTCCTGAGCTGGAAACGTTCCCGTTTTTCCTCCTCTCCCCTAACAGTAGGTCCGTTAATTTTCATTTCTTCGACACACTTCTTCAGTCCCTAGCTGCTGTAGAACCTGTTCTGATCCTGCATTACTCTCCACCACCTCCCGTGGCCCTGCATAACTTCTCTTAGCAACCACCTCCATTCTATCGGCTACTTCCTCAGTCTTAGCAGGGATCTCTTTCCCAACTTTTTCTAGTTTGGTAACCAGCAAGGCTCCAGCTTCATCTATTTTCGTACTTAGGGAACTCGTTCCCCTATGGCTTGCAATCGCCTCTTTCACCTTGACTATGCAGTCAGAGCAACACCAGCAACAGCCTTCATGCTTTACGGCAGCTTGCATCTTCCTAAACGTTGCAAGGGTCAGGCCTGTATCACCCATAACCGTCATCTCCCAACAGTAGTCACATATCATCATAACCCTCATGGTTGTTCATGGTTGTTGTTGTTGTGTGTGTGTGGGGGGGCAGACTGCATAGATCAACACCTATTTAAAAAAAAAGACAAAAAACAAACACACAGTATTTAGCTGCCCTCTGCTGGTTCTAACCTCCCTGTTGCCTTTAGGGTTGTCTTCTGTTTTTCTTCTCTTCTTTTTATGTTTTATTTTTTCAGTTCACTTCGGCGGTGTGTCAGTATTTATGTGCTATCTCTATATGCACTGCATTTTGCTATGAATAACGTATTTTATACACACACTCAGTCCTTTAGAAACACACAAAAATAAAATAAAACCAGTGTCCGCAGCCGGTTGGTAAGTCGACAAGTAGTGAGGATAAAGTAAGCTTATCGAACTGTTATATAAGATTTGGAGTGTAGATTTTGCCAAGGCTTTCGGCAGTGTACCCCACGAATGGCTGAAAATCAAACTGGAAGGGTACGAAATTCGGGGAAATGTCCTAGCGTGGATAGAAGCCTTTCTACATGACCTCAAGCAGTGTGTGGCGATTAATGGCACGAAATCATCTTTACCTGTCACAAGCGGGGTACCACAGGGCAGTGTATTGGGCCCGCTGTTGTTTGTTTGTTTCATAAATGACATGGCTGACGTTGTACACTCCTCCATACAAATGTTTGCCGATGACGCCAAGTTATTTCGGGAAATCAAGAACCAAGCGGACTGTGAAGAGCTGCAGAAGGATCTCTGTGAGCTCCAAGTATGGTCGAAGAAATGGCTGCTGAGATTCAATGTCACAAAGTGTAAAAGGATGCACCTGAGGCGTACCAACGGTAAGGAGGCGTATCATATGTCTCTACGGGATGAAGAAACTGAACTATTTGAGACTGAATGTGCGAAGGACCTAGGTGTGTATGTTAACAATGAGCTGAAGTTTTCGGGCCATTGCGAGAAGAAGGTAAATCGGGAAAATAAATTCTTAGGTCTTGTAAGAGTGAAGTGCTTCCCACATCTGGAGTACTGTCACCCCGTCTGGTCCCCGAGATATACAAGGGACTCTCAGTTGGTTGAAAATGTTCAAAGGAGGGCCACCAGACTGGTGCCTGCGCTTCGGCATCTTAACTACCCTGATAGATTGGAGCGCCTGAACCTGCCTAGCTTATACTACAAACGGGCAAGGGGCGACCTAACTGAGGTGTTTAAGCATCTTAAGGGGCACTACTCAGTCGAGTGTTCGTACTTGGAGCTGGCGGACAATCGCCCCACAAGGGGTCACAGCTCAAGATTGAAGAAGCCGCAGGTCCAGAAAACTGTGAGGGTAAACTTATTCGGAGTGAGAAAAGTGAACTTTTGGAACAATCTGTCAGAGAGTGTTTTGACGGCACCGAGTGTAAGCTCTTTCAAGACCAGACTTGACCAACACTGGAGCAGGTTCGGGTACATTCAGGAGCAGGTGCATGCCCAGTACTTGCCAACAATGCGTAACAGAGACGTGACCCATCGCCCAAGCGGCTAACGAGCCGATCAGTGACTGAAGAGGATTTAAAATAAAATAAATCAGTTTTGATAATTAGAGGAGCCATAACGGTTTACGAACAAACTGATAGTAAGTGACAATCCTGTTGTTAGAAGTAAATACAGATCACCTAGTTGTAGTTATAATAATTAAATATAATTATGTTTTAATTTCCCTTGCGGAGTTGGGGAGTAAATAATTAAGGAAAGACGGAAAAAAGTATATAAGCAACTTAAGCAAGCAAGCAAGAATGAACTAAGTAAGGGAGGAACTTAGAACGTACCGGATAACTAAAAATTTGGTTGAATTAAGTACAGTAATAAGGAAATAAGGAATGTTTTAAACAAAGAAGGATGCAAACAAGTAAACAGCGTGTAATATTAGAAGCTACATTACAACTCTTGGTTAGTAGTAACCAAGTGTAGGTAAACGTTTATGGGTTCTATTTACGCTCGTTGGTGTAGTTGACAGTTGGTGACTGTCAGGATAACTGATGTTATATACAACCCTTCGGGCTAAGTTTTGAGTTGTCTACAGTTTCTTTATGTTTGTTTGTTTCATTGCATGTAGGGGAATTAGTGGATATACTGTGGGGTTATGAGATATTGGTTCACACTCAGGATGGGTTGGAGAAAGGAAACGCACAATGTGCTCTCTGTATACATATTGTATTGGATGTACAATGCAGCTTGGTGCTGGGGAGTGGCAGCGTGGGTCCAAGCGTGGAGTAGAGAGAGCT